TTAATTATCGACCCATGCAAATAACTAATCTAATAATCTAGCACTAATAACAAGATTAGTTCCAACAGTACTCAGGGGCGGATCTAGCATTTGCATTGAGGTGGGGCCAAATTTTAATTACGTAATTTATTTTGCAAAAATGTTAAAATGACAAGATGTAGTTAAATAATTTTACAAAAATGTCATCAAAGAAAAAAAAATTACAAAACCAAAAATTTAATTTATCTTTAAAAGAGCCATAGATACCGAACCAAAATTGGCTCACGTCGTTTACTGAAGTGTTCAGTACCAATTTTCATGTTAATTGATTTCTTAAAAATCAATTTTCTTTTGACTCCGTAGTCTATGCTCTATGTAAAAAGGTAAACTAATTAAATTTCACCTGCTACACCAAGCAGAATGGATTGAACTTAATAATTTTCAAATCAATATTCAAAAGTCCAATGATTTGAACTAATTAATTTTTTAGACTATTATTCGAAATTCTAATGAATCGAACAAATTAATTTTTCAAGCTAATATTCAAAAGACAAATGAATTGATCTAATTAATTTTGTAGGCCAATTACCAAAAGTCCAACATTTTGGACAGTGCTTCAAAAAAATTACTCATGTTACATTGAAAAATTATAAATACGATGTCCAAGGGAATCAAACTTGACTCCTTTTATTGCATCGGACCAACTTGACTAATGTTCACAATTCGGCATTAGCTTTTATTATATCATAACTACTGAAACACTATATATTAATATATACATAATATATATACTAGTAATTAAGTTTTTTTGAGCATGGGCCTAGGCCCTTCCTGGCCATGGGCCAGATCTGCCCCTGCTCGTACTCCGTTACACTTGCTTCAGTGGCAGGTTCTCACTAGACTTAAATTATTACTCAGTAAGTCAGTATTATACTAATAGTAATAAAATATATTTTTTGGGCCTTAACTTTTTTCAGGGCCCTGTGCCAATGCACTGCCTACACTTGTTGTAGGCCGGCCCTGTTTGCAAGTGTCACATTGATGTCATCAGACCACAAACTACTTGACCGGCCTTATAGTCTCATACACTCAATTGAATTTGGTTGGAGGATTTACGAGTACAAGAGCTCACTTTTATGATTTTATAGTAGTATGAGAAACTATTTAATAGTTATCCCATACTACAATCACCACATGGTTGATACTATTCATCATCTATTAATTTCAAGTCATGGGTTTGTGTGAAGATTTTTTCTGTCACATATAAAAATTGATTATTTGTTACTACCTCCGTCCCATATTTATTTTCAGTTCGGTTTACGATACTTGACTGACGATAAAGCAACCCGATCCCTGTTCACACTCGGAATATTTTTAGTAAATAAAATTTACATATTCAGAAACTACATTAAAACCGCTACAAAGCCTGATCAAGAAAATTTAAGTTTGATAAAATTTTGATATATAAAGTAAAAGATTAAGAATAATTTGAGTTGACCATGTGAATAGTAACTATGAAGATAATTTTGGGACGGAGGGAGTATTATTTTAGGAATTGGCACTTTAATTATTTAGAGAAATATATCCATGTGTAACTAAACAATTATAGAATTGTAATATACTACTTCCTTCCCAGGTTAAGATTTCCGATGAAAAATGACATGACTAGTTAGATAAGAATTAAATAAGGTAATTCAGCTGTTAGAAGTAATTTTAATAGATACAAGTATTTAATATAATGAAGTCATTGATCATAACCGAGATTTTATAATTTTATTATTTTTATATTTGATCATTAAATTATCAATTTAACATTGCTAATTATTTTCTAAAATATAAATGAGAATCTTTAGACAGGATGTTCAGAAAAGAAAATGAGGACTTAAAACTAGGACGAAGGGAGTGATAAGTTTAAACATAGATCTATATGAGTTACCATTAAACTGAGAGTCATACTCCTCTCAATTTCCTTTAATTCTCTTCATTTACTCTTTCCGTTTCTTTTCCACTCTATCTCTCCTTAAAAATAATAATTAAACATAATCTTTTTCTTTTCTCTACCCCACCATTTCCCCACCTCACTCTATCTCTCTCCTACTGAAAAGTTCCAGTTAATGGAGAGGAGCAAAATTCTTAAAGTGAATGCAGGAAAGATAAACTAACATCACAACATTTATCAAATTAAAAACAAAAATCTTTTATTCAATTTTTAGGAATTATTTCCCTACTAGTCATACTCCTATTAAATTTCTCCTTCATTTATCCATGGAAATGAGTGGACGGAATTTGACGTTATCTAGGGCGTAGCCACATTTTTTACTTCATTTATTTGGTATTTTACATTTTATTGTTGGTTACCAAGTCAAACATTTTTAAATTTTCCAAATAAACGTATTTATCAAAAAAAATGTTGTGGGACTAGAGAAAGGAAAACAAGAAAATGGGTTTATCACATCATTTTCCAAAAAAAAAAAAAGATAGTACGTATATATTTTATGTTTCCTTAATGAACCGGAGAAGTGTGTTTTACTAATTTTTTAAATTTGGAGATATGTCATTGTTCCGGTCTGGACGTCCGGCCCAGTTGACAACTATGCGGTCGGCGGTCCCGGTCCTGTCCTGTCCACGATAAGGAGGTCTTGATCCATTCCGATCAACAACCCAGTGGCCTTGTTCAATCCAGTTAACGACCCGGCGCTAACTGCTCGGTCCGGTCAAAGACCAAGCAGTCCCGATCCCAACCTGATACCCGTTTTTAAATAATTTTTTCGAAGTGAAAAGAGTTTCAAAAAAACGTTGGGTTGCCAAGCAACAGGGAAAATGAATAAAATAGTCAAACTAGCCGATGAGACCTATCTAGACCGGGTACTCTATTTGGATTGCAACAGGCCTGGTTTCGGATTATCCCAGGAGAAAAGATTTAGTGAATATGTTTTCATATTTGAAAATGGAAAGCTGAAAATAAAAACAGAAAATCAGAGATTGAAAAAACGGAAAATCAAAACAAAAAATTAGATAAAGGAAAATAGAAAAGAAAATAAAAAAATATTTATATTAATAAACGGACCCTTGTATTTACCTGACAAAGTTAATTTGCAAATTTGTGTGGAGGACAATATATCCTCTCATAAGTTATAACAATCGGTTTTCTAACTTCAATAATATTGTACTCCCTCCCTCCCCGAAAGAAGTTCCCACTTTCCTTATTTGGATGTCCCTATTTAAGTTCTCATTTCCTTAAATGGAAAGTTATCTACATCAAAACAGTGTCAAACAATATCGAAACAGTGTCAAAACAGTAAAATTAAGGGAGTATGAAAGTCAAATGAGAACTTCTTTCGGGGACGGAGGGAGTATGTGTTAGCACAGGTTTTGATAGTAATCGGTACGCAAGGGGAGAGAGGAGCCGCGAAGGGAAACCCTAGCCGCCGCCTCCTATTCCTTCCTTCTTTTCTTCTCTTCTTTTTACTTAAATGAAAAAGTTTCGTTTAATCAGTATTTTCAGTTCTATTTATACGTTTATTTTCTAGCGTTGTCTAGAGATATTATTTTCGGTGGCGAAGTGTCGCTCGCCAGATCTATATTCTCCGCCATCGCCGGTCGGATGTTCTTGTGTGCTAGTAAGAGGTTTGTATTGCCTTCTTTATGAATCATAAATCAGGATTTCTTCTGCATCGATATATAGGTCAATCGCCCCCTCCAGAACCACCACCGATCCAGGAAGATGACATTTGATGGATTGCTTTCTTTCCGGTGGCTGATCAAACCGGAACAATTTCTGCACTTGGCTCATTACCGGTGGCTGGAAAAACCGGAAAGTTCAATAATTCATTTTCGGTGGCTGGTCAAGCTGAACCCATTTCGAGTAGCATGAGCAGAGACATTGCGGTACAAGTCTACATTTTGCTGGGTTAGCGAACATAGGTGCTTTTATATAATTATATGGCGTTTTTGTTCTTTGTCTCACCCTAATTGTAATGTACGAGTATGATTGTAATATTTCGACTTTTAATTGTTATGTTTCTTGTTAAGATCTGATTATCAATAAAATGGTTATTTGATTTTCAAAAAAAGTATAGGTCCTCTCATTTCTTCTTTCGCCCCAATACACAGAATTCATTTCCTTTTCCAAACTCGTCAAGAAATGCATGCACTCACTCTGAAAGTAGTGCTGTCAATTAAATTAAATTAAATTGCACCCCACCCACCACGGCATTGTGGTAGAGCCACAAAGGTTTTCAATCACACACCACTCTGCTTAAATGATAAGATCTGGCCCCCAACATTAAAAGATAACAAGTCTTCAACTCAGATATTCATAAACAATGGCATGTGCAGCTTAGATTGATTTATTGGGAAGTCCCACTAAACATATAATCAAAATCATCCCATCAACATTTGATCCAAGAAAGAGACACAAACCAATCCAATACGGCAATCGCTTATAGAACTGGAACCAAATCCAGTTCTTCCAAACTGGGAGTTCCCTCATCCAAATTTAGACCAAACCCACAAATTAGGAGTAACTCAATCGCCCATATTGTGAACCAGAATCAAGATGGGATCAATACATACCAACACGTTTCCGGTTACTGCCTTTGAGAATCAAGAACCACACGGTATTAGGACTGAGTCCACACCCTATATATAGAATTGACTTTTACTTGACCACTTCCGGTCTTCGTTTTCAAATTTGTAGATATTTAATTAAAAAACTAAACTATGGTCCGGGCTCTTAAACTGACTGTGATCCGAACCAGGCTAGATCTAGACCTCTACACCCGCCCCTAGAAGGGTGTAACGCAATCGGACAGAACTTTCATTGTCTCAAGCAGGGAAAGAAAGTTACGTGTATAACATATATAGTATAATCCCAGCCAGCCACTCAACTAATGGGGTGTTTGGAACCGCTTCTTTTTTAAAGCAGAATCAGAATCAATTTTCAGAAGTTGGTCTCCCAGCTTCTAAAAAAACTGATTCTAGGAATAAATTGAAGCACCAAAATCACTTCTGCACTTTCACTCAAACATTCCAATAAAAGTTCATTTTCTCCCGCAATTAGATCACAGTAACACCACTACACCAATAGATTACTACAAAGTACAAGCCACAAACATCATGACATTCATGAACATGGCAAGTAAACAGATTAACTAACAAAATATATGAATAAACAAATAAACTGATGCATTATTAAATTAATGCAGTTTTACATCGAAAGAAATTAAACATAAGGAGCAAAGGTAATGATGCCATGTCAGGAAGTTTTACTCCCTTGTGGGTACACCGAAGGAAAATGTAATGAAAACCCAAAAAACAATGATCCTTCCCCGATAAGCACGAATACAACGGCCTTTATTCGATCTGTATCCCTTGAATTACATTAAGAGTGTAATACATCCAAGGAAAAAGAAGCATCAAGATAAAGCTTTTAGATTGACTAATCTCCAGTGGAGAGTTCACTGAAATGAAATGCAAGGGTGATATTAATCCTAGATTCACGAGAGTTACACCTTACCATTACTTGACTGGGTTTCTTTGATACAGCCCAACCAACAGTTTGAGAAGTCCCGCTGTAAACAAATACTGTTATGTGCCAAAAATTGAATAATTATCTCAAAAGTGTTCCACCTTGCCCTCTCGCACCCATCTGAGTTGACTTAAGCATGCATCATTCCTTCTCCACCAGCAAAAAAATATGCCCAAAATAATACTGTATAAATCCATAAAAAATTGTGTCTAAAGCTTTTTTTTTTTTTGAAAAAAATGAAACATCTTGTGTCACTAGGCTACAAGCTGATCAAGTTGCATCTGCTCAAGCCAAGCTCCCAAGACAGAATGATCAATGGAATCAGGTTGAGAATTAGATTTCATCAACATCTCACCGGATGGGGTAGCCCCTGAAGTTCGGGCTGCCAACTTGTCTTTCATCTCAGGTGGTGATTCCTTTACAAGAGATTGTACCCAGGACAGGTCAGGCTCATCTCCATTGTTGTTATTCAGCTTTTCGAAGGAAGATGATCTCCGCAGGCGGCCAATCCCATCCCCATTCATAGACCAGTCAACTTTTGTGTTGGGAGATCCCCAATTCGACCAAGCACTGCTGGCAGGCGACCCTATCATTGCGGGATTTCTTGAACCGAGTTCCCGGGAACTGAGGCTGCGTAGCTGTTGATGCTGCTGCTGCATCTCACGCTGAGCAAATACTGAAAGCTGAGCACTCATTGGGGAAGATACTTGTTCGACAGCTCTTGGAGACATTGCACTAGGTGAAGAACAAGCAAATGGAGACTGCAAAAGAGGGTGCTCAACATTTCTGGGAGAAAACACATTCCCATTGCCTGTTTTTGGGGAGAGCATGTTCTGCTGCTGTTGGAGCTGACTGAAAACAGCTGATTTATGTGAAGGGGAGAACACACCAGAAGCCACTGACTGGTCAGAATATCGGGGAGAAGATGACATCTCAGCAGAAAATAGGTCTTCAAGATTAGATGGGGTTAGAATCTTAGAACAACCAGAACGAGTCAAAGTAGCAGAATTGGGACGTGACTGTGAAAAATAAGCCAAGTCATTTAGAAGTAGTTGCTGAGCATCAAAATCCTGCAGCATGTTAAAATCCTCACGGGGGATATCGCGTGCATTGAGTGAAGATCTCAGGCGACTTGACTGGAGGTTGCTTCCAGGGAGATGCAGAGTTGGAATATTCGGCTGCGGCCAGCCAGTGGATGATGGATATGACACTCCTCCATTTGCAGTGGGAGACATAGGCTGATTGAATACAGGAGACATAACAGCATGTGATGAAGGAGAACCAGGCAGAAGACTCAAAGCAGCAGCCATGTCCATCACACTAGCAGTTGCAGCGGCAGCAGCAGCTGCAGATCTTGGAGATGGAACTGCAGACCCTGTTGAAACATACAATGGACGAAGCTCATCAGGAGTGTGGGCAAAAAAGCAAACTCGCCTTGCACATCCGGTCCCATCTTTACACAAGCGTGTTCTGTACTGGGCAGGATGAAGCCAGCACTCGAAAACACCATGAGCATATTCACACATATCACCTCGTCTGCAGGAACCCTTGCGGAAATCCGGACATGGGACACAGCTATAGTGGTATTTCCTAGGATCCCTTCTCCGTGCGTTCTCTCCCGGGTGCACAAAAGGGCACTCTGTCCAATCATGCGAATAAGCTCTAGAGCAAGGCCTCACCTTGAATGAGAACATGCGAAACTCATCTGTCGAATACATGCTGTTTTTAATGTTAGGAAGAGACGGATCAATAGGATATTCTTTCTTTTCCGGTGCAGAATTTGCAGGAACATCACTGAAGTCTGATGCCAGAGGAGAAGACACCAAGTCTGGAGGTGAACGTGGTGACCCAATTTCTGGTGAGGAAGTAGTTGTAGTCGTTATAGACACTTGCAAATGACATCCACCACCAACCACGTCAGATATACTGTTTGAAAGCAATTCTACAAGAGAAGCTCTTGCACCGGAGAGCTTTGGTGGAACTACAACTACATCAACTGGCCTCAGACCATTGACATCCACAATATTTGGATCAGCCCCAGCTGAGAGCAGCAACCTGACAACTTCAATGATACTATTGGAACCACCAGATGCAGCACAATGAAGAGCAGTGCACTTTTCTGGGCCACAAGTCCGATTGACATCAACTATAGGATGCGAAATTATCAATTTCAAGACATCAACACTGCCATAAGTGGCAGCAACCATCAAGGGAGTCCTTTCCTCGTTGACAATCTGTTTAGAGGTTTTCTTGCGAACTAACCACAATCCAACCTCATCAACTGCGGCAGGCTCACGGTCAATGGATCTTCTAAATGCCTCCACATCGTTATTAGCAGCTAGTTCAAGAAAACTTGAAAAACAATCATCAGTCTCAACAGTAAGTTGACTCATGTCCTTCATACTCAACTTTGTATTAGAATGAGATTAGATTGGAATATTGGATGGTGAATGAAAGACAGTTGGAACAGTTAGGGCCACTGCACATGCTTCAGCTACCTGCATCCAATTAAATAGGTGTGAGATAGACTTTCTTATGCACAAATAAAGTAAAATAATACAAATATGATATATCTATATATAGAACTTGTCTGTTATGAAGGGCAAATTTCTTGGAAAAAGCTAATATATGAAATGGACTTCAAAAACAGTTCATATAAACAAATACAGAAAAATTAAATTCCTCCATATCAAGAAACAAATTGCACCCATCAACCAAGCGATGCAAGTCTAGGGCGCAGAAGTAAATAAGGTGTATGCTTAGAAAAACGATTAATAGAGCAAACACTAGACATAGAAAGCATAATACTGAATCGATCATCATTCAAAATTCATGAATACCCAAAAAAACTGGCAACTGATCACACACATAAATATTATACCACCCAACTAATATTACCATATCCTGATCTGATGAACAAGTCCACTTATCTTCTTTACGAAACTCAACAACCTAATTTATACTGAGATATCACCTTAATGTAAGAATAAATCCTTGAACCGACAAGACAGCAACGAGAATCGCATCATATACCAGAGAAAACATACATTCAGAAACTTAAATATCATCAAGAATAAACATATATTGGAAAGAAGAATCACTTTACATATTTTCAAAGATCGCATCTTTAAAATCTTTAAAATAACACAACATGGACGGAAAGTACATACAAAAGAAAACTAATAGACATCACCTGAAAAATCAGCTAAATCATGGAAATCGAAAAAGAAAGCCCGAATTTCACATTAAAATATTCAAGTTTTCGTGATAAAATATATCCCAACTCTCAAACGAGAAATATATCAACAAATAGACACAAGAAAAAACAGACCAAAGAAGAGAGTGCAAGTGTATGCAAACTTAAGCGAGCGAGAGAGGGGGTGGGGGGGGTCAACTGCGGAACTAAGCCCACTGCTCACCAGACTCGCATCAATAAAGGGTGCGATCCATAATCACTTACCGACTAAGAAAGAAAACTGGTCACAGATCCACAGCAACATAAAGAGGGAAAGAATAGCAGGAAGCGCTCCTGTTCATTGGTGATGAGCAGATAAGTCGGCAAAGCTACTGGCGAATCCAAACACAGATTCGCTTCCAATATAGATCAGTCCACTACTCTGCTACTTCAACCTCGACAACGACTTGGAGAGAAAAAATCAAAAAAATATAATTAAATGCGTATAGGAAGCATGGGCGGAGAGAGAAGGAGATATAGTGCGAGAAAGAGAAGGGACTTTGTAGTGAAGAAAGAGAGCGACAGAGAGGGAAGGGGCGCAGTGGATGAGTAAAGAATGAAATGAAATGCAAATGCAAATGCGGATAGAAATTCACGCGAAATGGAGTTGAAATTTGGATTAAATGTCGGAAAGATAATGATGTTGAGAGTGGGCCGGATTGAGGCAACCGGCTGAGCCGGTGAGTGTAATAGGATACCGATAGAGCTGGTGACTGTGTGCGGAACTGAAATATTGAATTAAATGTATCGGAGACAAAGGTTGGCGTCCGCCACGTGTGGAGCGGTCCGCGGAGAAGTGTCGATGGGTGCAGTCAAATCCAAAAGAAAAATGCACCGTAGAATACGGACGGCAAAATGTACCTGTACAACTCAGCATCTCCAATGCTATAACGTGCACGGTACACACGTGGCATGAGAGATGACCACATAAATATTAGTATATAAATTCTTTCTCTCCTTATTTAAATGATTTTATATAGTTTTGGTAAGTTTTTCTTCACAATGTCAAGGAGACCGTCTAAATGTTGACATTGTTGTTGACATTGTTGTTGACATTGCAGGAAAAACTTACCAAAATTGTATAAAATCATTTAAATAAGGAGAGAGATAATTTATTTACTAATATTTATGTGGCTATGACTCATGCCACATGTGCACCGTGCACATTAGAGCATTGGAGATGCTCTTAGGTTTAATGCGTCAAATCCTCTCGTGAAATAAAAATTCGGCGCATTAATTTCAGTGATTTAAAAATTGCGTCAAATCCCCCTGTATTATTATTAATCATGCGCCAAATCCCCTCTAAAAACAAATTTAATTTCCAAAAAAATGAAAAATGGTTAATTTTTTTTGTATAATTTAGAAATTTTGACAAAATTACTTGCATATTCAACCATATTATTAAAAAAATGATTTCAAAATTTTAAAATTTGCTCTTGAAGGGGATTTTGCACATAATAAATTATAACACAAGGAGGTTTAACGCATTTTTTAAATCACATAAAACTAATACGTCGAATTTTTATTTCATGAGTAGGTTTGGTGCATTAAACCCTCAATGATCTACTAGATCTACTTTGTGAATAGAAATTTGATCTATTAATCCTCTTTCACTACTTTTATCAAGAAAGTTAAGGAGCCCATGTACTACTACGTATGATTTTATTATTTAACTATATGGTCATATGGTCATATGTGACTTCTTCATCACCGTACATTATTATAGTGGGGCATTTACTCTAAAAATGGAAGATTTATGGGTGGGCAAGAATTCCATTCCCATTATTTCATTTCAATATCTTCTCAAATTGTACTGGTGTTATTTTGTTCTGTTTGGGATCGGTTCATTTCGTGCCACCCCCCGTTTCGTACCGGTTTAAAACGGGACATGATTGGGACGCCAAAAGATTATCACAAACTGTCTCATTATCCCGTTTGTGATAACTATATAGTTTTTAGCATGTGAGTGGCTAGTTTGTAGAGTCAGCTCAAAAAATAAATGATACAGAGTAGTATATTTTTCGTTTTTTGAGCTCAAATCTTAAATAAAAATTATTTTTTAACATAAATACTAACTTAGGTTTGTATCTCACCTATATATGTACATATGAGTATCTCACATATAAAAATAATAATTTTGGATAAATTAGTTCATTTTTTTTTCTTTTCTATATTTTTAATTTCAAATTTTAAACTTAATTAAAATCTACTACGGAATACGTAGTACTCCCTCCGTCCCCAATTAAATGTCTCATTTTATCATATTGGGATGTCCCTATTTAAATGTCCCATACCTCATTTGGTAAAGTTTGTGTGGTTCAAAATCATTCTTACTTATTCTTACTTTATTCCTACTTTATCAATTAATATCAACCACACAAACCCACTTTTCTTAAAACTCGTGCCACCCTCTTCCGGGACTTTTAAAAGGGGACGGAGAGAGTACCTTTTAGGTTTTTGTAAAAGATAGCTTGTTATGAATATCAGTTTACTTTTAAAATGTTAATACTTTGGTGCATGATACTTTAGAAATGCTAATATATTTTTAATTACAAATGATTTTTTTTTTGGGTAAAAATAATTACAATATTCCAAACTTTCATAAACAATTTAAATATCCCAGACTTTTTATAAAAAGTTATTTTAACACTATCATCATGTATTGTTTAATTCAAAAATGTAAATTTATGCTGTTAATTGCATAATTTAAAATATCAAATTCAAAATGTAACAATTATATAGAGTGGGGGTAATACTATTTATTTTACAAGGGAAGTTTAAAATGTTAATTTTATCTTCATAAATGCTAAAATATTTTAAATTATGAAATCAACACCAAAAATTAACATTTTTGAAAGAAATAATGAATTTCATGATACTAAAATAAATCTTTATATAAAGTTTCAGATATTTAAATTACATATGCAAGTTTGAGGTGTTTACCTCACACCACTTCAAAGTTTGGGATATTTTAATTAATTATGTTTCCCTTTTTTATAATACTCTTTTATTAGTTTGGGACTCGTATAAAAATTCTCATTTGTATTTTAGAAAACAATTAACACTCTTAAATAATAATTCAATCATCAATATTAAAAATAATATATCTACGACATCATTGTTATCATCAATGACTTCATTATATTATATATTCATCAAAATTATTTAATAAAATATACTTGAACTATGTTGTTTAATTATTATAGGAAAAAGGTTCAAAAAAGCCTTGTACTATTTCCAAACCGTCATTTAAGACCATGTACAAAAAAGTATCATATAAGTACGCATACTTTACAAAATGGATCAATTTGATCATTTAATCAGCTTTTGACCTATAATAGCAGATTTTTAATACTTAAAAATTCTAAAAATTTGTTAAAATTTGAAGAAATACATACAAAAATTGTAAAAATTTTCAGAATTTCAAAGTAAATATTTTTTAACTTTTAAAAATAATTGTATATTCTACATCTATTTAAAAGGTTTTCAATTTTTTTATTTTTATTTTTTTATTTTAACATTATTTTTTTAGTTTTATGATTTTTTTTTTACTTTAATGTTTTTAAATTTTTATCTATTTTTATATTTATACTATTTTTTATATTATTATTATATTATTTATTAAAAGTTATATGAATTTTTGTAAGATTTATCAATATTCATAATTTAATTTTTTAAAAAAATAACCTACTATAGCAGGTCAAAGGCCTTGGTTGATTGTATTTTAAAAGTAGACGTACTTATATGATACTTTTTTAGTACAGGGGCTTGAGTGTCGGATTGAATATAGTAGAAGGGCTTATTTGACCTTTTTTCCTTAATTATATTGTCTATTAATTGCTTCATTTTACAATATAAATCTTTAACTTTGACAATGGTCGTATAACATAATTTCCTAATTTCTATACGTCATATGATAATACTGTGTACAGAGTACTTTGTTCCACTAATACAATAACATTCCATATTTAATCTCAAAAGAAAACAGATTGGCTAACATGAATAGACATGTTAAATCGGAGCTGAAAAGATGAAATTAAACCCAGAAAAAACATAAAGATAAAAAATATATAAGAATAAACTAAATAGATAAAGAAAACAATAAAAATAAAATGAAAAAGATAAAAGATAGAGAGATCAATTATCCACCCACCCGTATATTTTCTTTCCACTTGAGTGTCTCCGAAGTCACACTTTCATTCTATATATCTAGAATGTATCTGTAGACATGTGAAATTATTGAGCCAGCTATAGTTGTTATTGGACCTCTGTCAAATGCTAGCACGCTATTTCAACTTTGGTGGACATCTTTTAAATCTATTGGGCCAATTTCAGATTGCATTGGACTTTTTTGTGACGGTTGTTGGGCCTTAGCAAAAGAAAAATATTAATATAGATCCTTTCGAATATAATTTAGTGATTAAATTAATTTGGGTCATGTAAGTATCCAATTAATTTAATTATAAATTAAATTTTTAAAAGAATGGACCAGTCCTATTAATTTTGAGTCCATTATCAAATAGCAGCCCAATATATAAGAGACATGATCCAATTGATAGAGGTCAACGAATCTGGCTAAGAAATCCTTCCATATGCATGGAAAATAGCTATGAACCTTGTTAAAAAAGCAGTCCAGAGCCATCGAACAAGTGCTTATTTTTCTAGCTATTAAATACAAACAAATAGAGCCCAAAGCCCATTTTAATTGGGACCCAAATAATATGGACGAATTTTGGGAACCCTAAAGCATATTTCATCCCCTCCACACCTATAAATAGGGGTCTCAGTTGAGAGAAGGAGGAGAACTTCTAGACGAAGAAACGCTGCAGCATAGCTCTGAAGAACTCTCAAGAGGCTCTGAACGATTCTGAAGGAGAGGAAGAGATCAATTCACGTTTTTTGTCAAGAATATATGAATAATCCTTTGTGTTTTCATCTATTCTTGATAAAATAAGTCCAAAAGTTGAAGAACGTTCGAAGATCTGGAGAACGAAGCTCGAAGATTCGAAGATCTGAAGAACAAAAGCTTTGAAGATTCGAAGATTTGAAGAACGAATCTTTGAAGATTTGAAGATATTCATATAAAGAATTAAAGATTAAACCAAGATTCAATTGAAGACCACACCATATATCCTCGGAAGCGCTTTAACAGAAGATCAAGCCTTATAACTGCCCTTTTGTTGAAGATCAAGCTACTTGAAAATCGAAGGCCCTTCAAGCTAAATTCTTAATTCAAGAAGATTTGAAGATCTAAAGAACGAAGATTCGAAGATCTCAAGAACGAAGACTCGAAGATCTGAAGAACGTTCAAAAGTTTGAAGGATTAAAGATTTAATTTTAAATTAAATTCTTTAATTATATTCATATCAAATTGCAAGTGAAGAATCGGAGGATTCATATTTAGAGATTGTACCAAATATTCTCTTATATTATTATTTGCAATCTATTTTAAGTTAACACTTAAAATTTGTTTCACAGTATCACATCATTATTGACTCCTCTAATTTACGTTTATTTGAGTCTTTACCTCATTC